TCAGGGGACAGTGACGCCTCCTCACTGTTTCCCTCGCTTTCCCCCCAGCACGGAAGGAGTCAGCCAAGGAGAAGCAGCTGAAGGAGGAAGAGAAGATCCTGGAGAGCGTGGCAGAGGGCCGAGGTGAGTGGTGGGAGCTGGGTGTCTCGCAGACCTGTCTTCAGAGCTGTTAGGGTAGCGGTAGGGGTATTGTCTGCCTGCAGTGCTCAGGGATGTTTGTACCCAGGGGTGGGACAGGAGATCACAACGGGATCCCTCGGTCGGTGTCCAGCTGCCTGGCTCAGCTGAGGCGGTGCTGTGTCAGGCCCCAGGGCACGGCAGGCTGCAGCACTTGGTGGTCCTGTAGCCAGAGGGGCTGTCGGGGATGCTGCTTTCCCTCCTCTGTCTCTAAATGTGATCTCCCAAACTGTTCACCGAAGCAGTTCTCTGCTGAGGTTCAGTGTATCTGGAGATGGAGGGTTTGCACTGACCTTGTGAGCTTTATTCTTGCAGCTTTGATGTCCGTGAAGGAGATGGCAAAGGGCATCACTTACGATGATCCAATTAAAACGAGGTGCGTTTCACAGCGCAGAGGTTGGCTTTCTGGAAACATCCATTCCTCGCAGTTGATGAGATGCTGGAGGAGCACTGCTCTGCAGCCACTAGCTTTTTTTTTTTGCTCCACTGTCTGGCTTCTTACCACCTTATGTTAAGATTAAAGGCTGTTGAGTCACCTTGAGTGTTGTTTTGTACACAGTTGAAGACCTGAGGCAGGTCTTCAGATGTTGGAGGTGACTAACCCAGAGGAAGAGGCTGGGGGAGCCTACAGAGTCAGCGCTGCTCAAGGCAGTGTCAGAGAGACGATCGAGATGCGTCCAAAAGTTTTTGGCACATTCCATCCAGCATCCATAGACTGTTCTTAGCTGTGAGCTTGGGACTTCTTACTGAGACTTTAGGGAAACATTTAATGCATGGAACTGCCTTAGACTGTGCGCACACCATGGAGCCCTTGGGGTTACCTGTTGTCGCAGGTGGGGTATTCCAGCCCATGAGGAAGTTCCTCTGGGCCTCCGTGGGGGTTGCTGGCTCTGCAGCCCCAGCCTCGTTCTACGCCACAACCTTTTTCTGTCACTTTCGCAGCTGGAGAGCACCTCGTTACATCCTGGGCATGTCGGAGGCACGGCACGATCGCGTGCGCAAGAAGTACCACATCCTGGTGGAGGGGGAAGGCATCCCGCCCCCCATCAAGAGCTTCAAGGAGATGAAGTTCCCAGCAGGTGGGCTGGGGAAGGAGCCTGGCAGGGCCAGGGGTGGCGTTCTCGTGGGAAAAATCTGTCAGCGAGTGAATCTGTCAAATCTTAATGCGTAGTTCTAGTGGGGTCACAGCTTAAATTCCTGACGGTGGCTGTGTCATCCAGCTGCTGGCCCAAGGGGTGTTTGTCACTGGTGGAGCAGCTGCTGCTGGAACATGCGTAGGAGGGAAGGAGAGGGAAGACTTCAGACCGTGAACGTGCTTGTCTTTTGCTCTCTGGTAGCTATCCTCAGGGGCCTGAAGAAAAAAGGAATCCAGCAGCCAACACCCATACAGATCCAAGGCATCCCCACAATGTGAGTGCTCTGTCCCTCTCCCAGAGTGGGGAGTGGGATGCTCCCTGTAGCCCACCCAGCGCTGTGAACTGGGTGCTCTTCCCTGGTGACAGATGCACCCTGTCACCTTGCCCAGCCCTGGAGGTTTGAGCTATTCTGTAAGGATCCTCAGCATTGTCCCCATTTCTCTGCCAGCCTCTCCGGGAGGGACATGATTGGCATTGCCTTCACTGGCTCTGGAAAGACTTTGGTGTTCACCCTCCCGGTGATCATGTTCTGCCTGGAGCAGGAGAAGAGGCTGCCGTTCTCCAAGCGAGAGGGACCCTACGGACTCATCATCTGTCCCTCGGTGAGTGTCTGGGGGCACAGTGACACACACAGGAGGAAGCTTTTACTGATGTTCAGTGGCGATCCACCTGCACACAGGTGTAGGAATGAGTATTTTTCTCTGCAGCGGGAGCTGGCCCGGCAGACCCACGGCATCATTGAGTACTACTGCCGCCTGCTGCAGGAGGACAGCCTGCCCCCGCTGCGCTGTGCCCTCTGCATTGGCGGCATGTCTGTCAAGGAGCAGATGGAGACCATCAAGCAGTAAGGCTTCTGGAGGGGGTTTGTGGGGCTGGAGCTGTGGTCTGCTTTCTGGCAGGGGACTAAGGGGTGGTACCCTGGCTAGATGGCTTCAGGAAGGTGTGAGGGTGAAGGCGATGTGCCCAGCAGGTGTTATCTTTCCTGTGTGTCAGTGCTTGGGGCAGGAATTCGATTGCCTGACCGTGGCCTTTTATCCCACAGCGGTGTACACATGATGGTGGCAACCCCTGGCCGCCTGATGGACCTGCTGCAGAAGAAGATGGTGAGCTTGGACATCTGCCGTTACTTGGCCTTGGATGAAGCTGACAGGATGATCGACATGGGCTTTGAGGGGGACATCCGTACCATCTTCTCCTACTTCAAGGTACTGAGCTGACATACTACAAGCACCCTGAAGCTCAATCCCTGCACCCAGCTGGTTGGCTGAGTGCTAAACCTGTGCCCACACTGCGTTCCCTGTGCAGGGCCAGCGGCAAACCCTCCTCTTCAGTGCCACAATGCCCAAGAAGATCCAGAACTTTGCCAAGAGTGCCCTGGTGAAGCCCATCACCATTAACGTGGGGCGAGCAGGTGCTGCCAGCCTGGATGTTGTGCAGGTGAGGTGGTTGGGTGCCTGCATCCTCATGCCTGTGTGAGAGGCCAGCACCATTCGTGAGGGCACTTGATGCCTCCCCCTGCCAGAATCTGGGGTTCGTGGACTGAGCAATGGCAGTTTCTCTGCTGCCGGCCTGATCCATCCCCGTGCTTGTTCCTAGGAGGTGGAGTACGTGAAGGAGGAGGCCAAGATGGTGTATCTCCTCGAGTGCCTGCAGAAGACCCCACCGCCCGTGAGTAGTGCGCTCTGGCTGCGCTGGCAGCATGACTGGGGGCAGTTCCTGGGGCAGGGGTGAAGCTGCCAGTGGGGACACAGCCATGACGCTGCAGGCCTCTGCCACGGTAGGCCTGGGAGTGAGCCATGCTCCACATATGAGCAGGTCCTGGGTGCAGAGCTGTTGTGTGCTTTGCTCAGCAAGAGGGTTTCCCGGAGGCTGTGCTGGTGCTGGCAGTGCCACCCTGCAGAAGGGCGGCTCTTCCGTGATGTCTGTGCTGCTGCAGGTGCTGATCTTTGCTGAGAAGAAGGCGGATGTTGATGCGATCCATGAGTACCTGCTGCTGAAGGGTGTAGAAGCTGTGGCCATCCACGGAGGGAAAGGTCAGTGAGGGTGTCAGGGGGCCTGGGCCGTGGTGTGGCCCTGCCTGACCCCGCTCCTGCGGGGGTTGGATGTGGCCATGGGAGGTCCCAGCATGCAGCAGGTTGTGATGGTGTGAGGGAGGGCTGTGGCAGTGTCAGGAGTGAATGTCACATTGTTTGTAGTGGGCATAAACACGTGGTCCCTATGGGACCTACAGATTTCTCTGCTCCTTTATTTGGGGAAAGGCTGCGTGGGTCCTCTCGCTGGGGGAGCCCCGGTTGAGCGACGCTTGGCTCTGAGGCTGCAGTGGTTGCCACGGGAGGTAGGACTGGGAGCTCTGCCCTTGCTGATATTCTCTGCTGGGCCTTTGCAGATCAGGAGGAACGGACAAAAGCTATCGAGGCCTTCCGGGATGGGAAGAAGGATGTCCTGGTTGCCACTGATGTCGCTTCCAAGGGCCTGGACTTCCCAGCCATCCAGCACGTCATCAACTATGACATGCCGGAGGAGATTGAGAACTACGGTGGGGACTGGGCCCTGTGGGGGTCAAACGAGGGTGTGTTGGGGTGGGTGCAGAGGCCAGGAAGGCTCTGGCTTTGACTCTGCAGGGGCTGGGGGCAGGGGTGGTCTGTCACATCGCTTCACCCAGGCCTGCTGCTGTCTCTTTCTCCACAGTTCACCGTATCGGGCGTACAGGCCGTTCAGGCAACACTGGCATCGCCACCACTTTCATCAACAAGGCCTGTGGTGAGAAACAGCGTGGGGCTGGGGGCGCCCTGTGGGGCGGCTGGAGGCTGCCTGTGGGCGGCTGCAGCTGTAGGAGGGAGCTGAGCGGTGGAGCTGCCTCTGCCGTGGCCCAGGGGGTGTTCCTGAGCAAGCAGGGACTCGTCACGATGGCCTGTGGAGGGGGAGTACCCCCACACCTGTCTGATCTGTGTCTCTGCCCCCAGATGAGTCGGTGCTGATGGACCTCAAGGCCCTGCTCCTGGAGGCAAAGCAGAAGGTGCCGCCTGTGCTCCAGGTGCTGCACTGTGGGGACGAGACCATGCTGGACATCGGAGGTGAGAGACCCCGGGCTGGCACAGGGACCTCCCGCAGGGCTGTTGAGAGACCTGGGCTGCGGACGGGACCCCTCAGCTCCCGGGGCAGTTCCTGCCTGCCTCGGGGGTGTCG